ATGAGTGAGGCTGAAACAGAGCAACAGTCGGAGGTTAAAAATCTTACTGAAAAAACGCCTATAAAGACAGCCCCTCTGAGAAAAAGAAGCCTGAGAAACATCAGCTTTCTTGGCCCAGCATTTCCCTGGAGGGTGAGTTAAAGGAGTTAGGGCCTCTTCAAAGGAAACATGGCTGCAAAGAAGAGACTGTAGCCTTGGAATGAAACCAAGCAGGGCACAGGTTCGGGGGAGGGTCTCCTCTTCTCCTTAGGGATCTAAAGACTTGCACGCTTGGGCTCGCAGCTGACTCATGGTAGCACTCAGGAAACACACTGCTTCCCTATGCTCTCCCAAATTTTAACTGCTAAATGGGGTGCCCCCACGTGCCCCCTTCCCTGCCGCTCTGAGTGGTCCTCCCTGCCTCCCCTTTCCCCACCAGCTTCAGTCACCCCTGCTTGGGCTCAGGGCACCTAGAAGATCAGCTACAGCTCTGGGATGAGAGCCACGACTGACAACACCGCTCCTCCCGCACGCTGAACTTTCTACTGTAAGAAGAAAGCTCAGCCAGGACAAGCGACAGAGCTCTCTTGGGAGCTGGTCCATGCCTGTGGAGTGAACTCCCTCCGGAACCAAGGACCCAAACCTGATCACCAGGGGAGTCGAGAGGCTCCGCACGCCCCTGGCGAACGTGTGTGTGGGGACCCAGCTCCGTGGTCCCAGAAGGGGCAAGGCCGGGGCAGCCAGCTCTCAGCGCTGCCTGGGGGTGCCACGCTGTCTGCCAGCTCTTAGAGCTATCAGAGTGTGCCACAGGAGCTCTGGCAGTGTTTCAAAGGCCTGGGGCTCTAGCAGCAGCTGTGCTGGGAGCTCTGGGCCCTTTTGTGCTGATGGGCCCCAAGAAAGTAGGTAGGTCGGGGGGGGGGGGGGAACCAGCCAGTGCTGGAGGGAGCCAGCTTAAAAGCCGGTTCCCCCCAGCATCATCTTCCCAGGGGGCAGGGAGGTAGCAGGGACCAGGCACAAGCCAGGAATCAGCTGATTCCCAGTTCACGCCCAGTCCCAGACACTGCGCTTCTGCTTTTGAAATGTATTAAGGGTCTGTCAGCTCTTAATACATTTAAACGGCTAACATGCAGCGGAGGGGGAACCCAGCACGAGCTGGGACAGCTGATTCTTGGCTTGTGCCGGGTCCCCCCGCTGCGCACCAGCCTTTTAAATGTATTAAGAACCAACAGGCTCCTAATACATTTAAAAGGCAGGGCCACAGCGGGGTTGAAAATCCATCGACTAATCAATTAGTTGATTAAACTAAACTTAACATCCCTACTGCTCACCACCTTCTGCTGCAATTGCAAGGGGCACTTTTTTGACCTGCCTTCTCTAACATATATACAAAGCAGCAAGGCCATTAAAAAACCAAATGCAGGCCTACCACACCAAAATACACCCTGACATGCACAACTCTGCCCTGGGATGAGGCTGAACAAAGCGCATGTGCCAGATGTCAGTCATGTCACTTAATGCTCTACTGGAAGGCGCTCAGATTCCATGGGGATGAAGATAAGAACCTGCACAGAACAGCATAGGAAACGGCCGCAACCAGAGCCCCCGCTGGTGCCAGTTGCCTGAAAGAGGTCCACATGCTGCCCATTGGCTCCCAGTGTAGTCCCAGGCTGAACTATGAAATTCACCAATGTTACCCTCACAGGTTAAATTGGGCAGGGTAGGGAAACAGATTCTCTTCCAAGCTCCACCCACAAACCAAACTCCACTCAGTTGAAATCCCATTCACAGCACATTGTGCTTGTTTTCATAAAAGGGTCATCCCCCTCCTTTCTTTGATCAGCAGAGAAATCATTAACACTGGTGACATTAAATTACCAGTATTGGATAGTCCAGTTAAATCACCCCATTGGGCTGAATGGGATAGTTCACATCTCTCAGAGCTACTGTTTCTGGCTCTGCAGACTCAGGTACCCATCATCACTTCGGTTATGGTTGGTTCACATTCTGAAGGATTTCTTTTAAATCCTGAAAGCTAGAAATATGCTTCTTTTAAAATGAAAGCTGAGTTGCTGGAGCACAAGATGGTAGCTTGAGGACAGTGGTGGTGGTGCAATGTATATTCACATATCTCCTGAAGAGGGCTCTGTTTATGATTCATTTCTGTGCACTGTAGAAATTGGGCACAGGCCAGGAAACTGCAGTTGTGATCTAAAACAGATTAAGGCAAAGGTTCAGGGCTTGTGTTCAAGGTTGATATTTTTTCTTCAGTGGCCTGGACAGCCTGTAAGATTAACTTGCCACCTGCAGCCTGTTTTTGTGGCTTGTGGTGTTTTTCATTTTCAGTGACTTAGTGAGTTACTATTCTCAGCACATGAATACAGTCAGTGACATTCCGGGTGTTCCCAGGAACCTAAAAGCGCCTGTCCTCTTTGATTCTGCATAGCTAGTTTCTGTTCCTCCCATAGTACACTAGAGATAAAAGGTCACCACTAGCCACTTTCTGTTTGGAATCTAACATTATGATCTACTGGTAATGTGAGCAATTATTTAGAATTCATATTAGCCTTCTAGTCTAATTCCCTAGACTAGTACAGGGTTTTGTACTAAAAGGGCACAAAAGTTTATGTCCTTCAGTCCCAAAGTCTCTGAAAGGATGATCACACTAAAACTGGATGAGGTGGGTTGTAACATTATTGTACTATACACAGATCCCTTGATTCACCAGGGCTTTTTTTAAAAAGCAAGTTCTTTGCTACTCAAAAGGGCTTAATGCTCCTGAGATACCAAAAAAAGGTGTGATGCACAGGGATGCTGGAAGGAGAATGAACATGTGCAGAGACTCCCCTGACCTGGGCCTGCATTGTAAGGGGCAAACCCCTGTCCCATCTCTGTACTTTCAGTCTCCAATGTAAGGGTGGCTGGGTACCCAGAACTCAGGGGTGGGTAACTTTCCCCATGGCTGTGTCTACACTGGCATGAATTTCCGGAAATGCTTAAAACGGAATACTATTTTAAAACGGAAACAAAAGCGTGTGTGGCCAATGTAGACGCGCTTTTCCGGAAAAGAGCCCCGATCGCCATTTTCGCGATCGGGGCTTTTTTCCGGAAAAGACTACTGGGCTGTCTACACTGGCCCTTTTCCAGAACAGTGTTCCGGAATAAGGACTTATGCCCGAGCGGGAGCAGAATAGTTTTTCCGGAATAGCGGCTGATTTTGTACAGTAGAGCATCGTTGCTTTTCCGGAAATTCAAGGGCCAGTGTAGACAGCTCGCAGCTTATTCCGGAAAAGCGGCTGATTTTCCGGAATAAGTGGCCCAGTGTAGACACAGCCCATGAGTGCACGCCTATGCCCTAGGGGTGGTACGTGCCCCGTGGTCTGTTCCAAGGGAGGGGGCAGCTGACTCCCATCATTCCCACTTTACCCCTGGCAGAACTGCCAGTGCCATGTGGCAGCCATGCAGGGAGCAGCAGATGCTCCAAGGCAGGGGTGTCCTGCCTGATGCCTGACTCTTTTTGCCTATCTCCCCCAGGCGGCTCCCGTGCCCCCGCCATCGCCCACACTGCTACGGGGAAACGAGCGCGGGTCTAGGCACGGCTCTCAACTCCAACCCCATCAGGCACCTCTGTAGACACCCCAGCCCCCTACTCTCATAAGGGTCCTCCGCCTTTCCGCACAGCTCTACGCAACTTTCTGCATACGCAGAACCCCGTCTCACAGCGACCAATGAGCTAGACTTTTCCCTTTGTGCCCGCCTCCTCAGGGCAGCTCAACCAATCAGCATCGAGCCGGGGGAAGAGGCAACTCCAACCCCATCAGGCACCTCTGTAGACACCCCAGCCCCCTACTCTCATAAGGGTCCTCCGCCTTTCCGCACAGCTCTACGCAACTTTCTGCATACGCAGAACCCCGTCTCACAGCGACCAATGAGCTAGACTTTTCCCTTTGTGCCCGCCTCCTCAGGGCAGCTCAACCAATCAGCATCGAGCCGGGGGAAGAGGCAGGGTAAGTTGAACCGCAACGGGGGGGGTGGGGGAGAAGCGCTGTTGTGGGGTCGGTGATGCCCTCACCGAACGACACCGCCCTCAGTCACTCGCC